CACAGTAGTTATATTGGCTATACGGGCAGTCCTCACTGTACAACGGGGGTGATCCCAGCAGAAACTGGTCTAGTGAGTGACTTTCCCAGACAATGTGATATAAATGGAGTCGTGTGTTTTTTGGAGATGATTTTCAGAGACCTCACTCAACCCAAACTAAATACAAACGACATAATAACTCAATAAACCCATACAGAATATAATTAAACAACCTCCATAAGTGCATTGAAACAAAACAAAGACTAAACTGAGATATTTATGGTATTGTCTCACTCTAGAAGATCTTTATAGGTTTCCCTCACATAGAGAAGGACACTGGTATTGAATTAAAACCACTTATACCTCCTATATATGAGAGGGAAGACTGGCCATGGGTAGAGCTTCCCTGAGTACAGCACCTCCTCTCTAAACTACTCACAGACTGACAAAGTGACACTCCAAGATGCCAGTGTTACCACCTCACCATCTTCTGAAGGAATTTGGGGTAGTTTTACAAAGCACAAGAAAGAATTGTCAACACTGGGAATAACTTGATATAAAGAACAAATCCCTGACTATGTGTCCTGGGTTGACAAATAAATACTGTAGTACCTTAGCAGTGAGACCTAGCTGGTGGAGTGGTGCAGGTTGTAGTGGAGTGGTGCAGGTTATAGTGGAGTGGTGCAGGTTATAGTGGAGTGGTATAGGCTGTAGTGGAGTGGTTTAGGCTGTAGTGGAGTGGTGTAGGGTGTTGTGGAGTGGTGTAGGGTGTTGTGGAGTGGTGTAGGGTGTTGTGGAGTGGTGTAGGGTGTTGTGGAGTGGTGTAGGGTGTTGTGGAGTGGTGTAGGGTGTTGTGGAGTGGTGTGGGTTGTAGTGGAGTGGGTAAGGTGTTGTGGGTTGTAGTACAGTAGTTTGAACACAATTTTTGAAACTTGTATAAGAAAAAATCTGCACAACTAATGGCAAAAAGTGTTAAGTAACTTATCAATTCAATATACCTAGGCAAAAAATATGTAAAGTGGTGGGAGAGTACAGAGAGTATTGCCTGAAAATTATTCAACAATTATTAAATTAATTTGCCTGAAAGTAAAATAATTTGTCATGGCCATTATTTAATTAGTACTGCACTGTAATAGGTAATCAGTTATCAATTAATTATAAATGAAGGATTATCTTATTAATTAATGAGTACTGCACTGTAATAGGTAATCAGTTATCAATTAATTATAAATGAAGGATTATCTTATTAATTAATGAGTAATAATGATCAATTTTTGTAACATAATGAATCAATTAATTAATGAAGATTAACTGAAGATTAGCCCCAGGTCATTTCACCCGATGATTAAGCACTATTTGGGGGGTTAGGTTAGCTTAGCATTATGTAGATTAGGTCTGGATAGGTCAGGTTAGCATTAGGTTAGATTAAGTTTGGTTAAGAGAGGTTAGGTTAGCTTTAGGGTGGTTCATCTTAAGGTAAAATAAGCTGGGGTGTTTTTTCTTCAGATGATTCAAAATTATTACTAATAAGATGGGACAGATTGTTAGTTTACATTTAAAACTAGTTAAGTAACACAGGATAAATTGTTCATTTACCTTAAACAATAAGTTAAGTAACAGAGGATAGAATGTTAATTAACCTTAAAAAATTAGTTAAAACAGGATGAAATGACAGTAAAATAGAATTTTTTTTCTCAGTGTAACAAGTAATGCATAAGAAATGTTAGTTAAGCAAATTTAACTACAGTATTGTAAACTATATTAACAATACACACCAAGTGACCCAACTACTGTAAGATACATAAGACAATACATGCTTGGGAAGACTACAGTACAGTATACTAACTACAGGTACAGGTACACACCATCTCTCGAATTTGGATCTCAGAAAACAGGATATTTTCTTCCCTGATTAAGTTTAAGCTTCTTCCCTGGGGTCATCACTCTGTTACACCTAGTAAGTCCTTCCAGTAAGCTTAAGGCAGCATCACACAGGCACTTGTACCGAGATTTTTCGCTCTTGGCTAGCAGAAGCGACTGTGGTTTTACACGTGATTTTTAATAAGAGTGTTCACATGACGGGAGTTCTATTGATGCCAGAACCACAGTGAGGTTTCTGGAGGCAAACCAAAACAATAACAAGATGGATGCCTCTGTAGACTTTGATGATGAACTGTTAGCTCTTAAAACTCTTGCTTTGTATTGTGTTAAGTACAGTACTATGTACAGTATAAATGCTTGGGATCTGATTCCTCTATATTATAACTAGCTGGACAATAGCTGTCAACACAACTATATGTTATAGTACTGTACAGTACACAATTTAATTTAACTTTTAATATAATACCGCACAATAGTCGTTCTCTTCTGACTCTGGTACCTGTGATCTCAAGACCACTATGTCGGGCTCGGGCTGGAGATTTCATCTGCTGGCAGATGAAATCTCCAGCCACTAGTCCCTGAAAAGTGAAATTTGCCAGTACAAGTTCCCGTGTGACACCACCTTAAACCAAGTTTGTTTCCACACACTCACACAAACTCAGTTGAATATTGGTTATGCACTATCTCCACTAACCCCTTCACTACAGGGATGCCACTTTTAATATTTATTTGGCTAATGCCAGAATATTTTATTCAGCTCAGAGGGGATCTCGTGCACAAGGGGTTAATAATATAAAGAACACTGCATATACAATACTTCTTAAATAACAAAACATCACCCCAGCAGCTTCTCAACAGTCACAAGACTTTACAAGAAGCAGCGAGCTCTTAGATATTGTCTCATTGGACAATCTGCTCAATAACTGTACTGTATCTGAATTTTTTCCTTTATTTTTATCTGCATTAATAAAATAATAAAACAATATTGTATTCACCTCACTTCTGTTATCAAATTAAAAGTTGTCATGTTTGTGTTGGTGGGACCTTTACTCAATCACAAGAACTCTCTACTCGTCATAAAGCCTCAACACTCACAAGAAGCTGCAGGGACGGAAACAAACCCTGAAAACTTACTTTTACTGTATAATAATGAGGAATTGTTAAGACTATTACTGAGAGCTAAATATTTGTGAAGGTTAAAACTAATGAAGGTGTTGGGGGTACAGCGGTAAGGTGTGCCAGTCTAACTATTATGTCAGCCTAACTACGCGTCCTAGGTTCAATCCCCGGCCAGGACAAATGTGTGAGGGATGACCCTACCAAACACGGCAGATTTTTCTCCAGGTGCTCCGGCTTCCTCCTATAGTAACACTGGACAATAAAGGTCATAATAAAGTAACAAAGAACAGACAAACTGTCTGTATAGCTAATAAGATGATAAACAGTGGAATGATAAATCTAAAAAAATTTTTTTACATAAGCTTAGGTTTTGTGTACAGTACAGCTGAAACTATATAATTAAAAGCTAAGGTGACTAAGCTTCAGTGAGAGTGTGGAAATAAAACATGACAGAGTGTACTGGAAGGCTTAAGGTGGATGGCCCCAGGGAGGGAAGAATCTCAACCTAACCAAGACACAGGAGCCAAGAAAATCCTCAAAACCAGTTCAGCCTCAGTCCTAAAGCTCCCAGGTTTGAGGGTTATACCTGTAATATAAATCATATAAACAAAACATATCAGGAAAACCTTCTGTTACCTAATGCAAACTATAAAAATATTACAGTATATAACACAAGTGACAGGTATGGTAAACTAATGTATAAACTACACATCAAGGGGAACAATTACTGTAAACTAATGTAAAATTGTACACATCAGGGATGACAGGTATGGTAAACTAATGTAAACTGTATAAATGATACATGTTAAGGGTGGCAGGCAAACCATAATCTATTTACTTGACCTTTACAGCTGAGTCCTATTGTCAGTTTGTAACAAGGCAGCCGATTGGTTGGTGGATGGATGCGGGAAGAGTCAATACAGTTTAATCTATTGTATTTATATTGCTGTATTTTAATGGATAATAACTTTTTTATGTTGATCTCTGATAATTTCCACACTTGGGGAAACAAAATTATCATAAAGAAAAATACAAAAAGAGGTTACAGAACAAATTTTCAACGACATCTTCGGTCGCGCTGAGTGACGTCATGTGTCCAAAGGGAATTTACGCCCCAGAAGTTGTTCATGATGTTTGTGTTCTCTTTGTGATATTATTATTAGCAGAGCATTCAACATGTTAATTCTTGTTTCCCCAAGTGTGGAAATTTTATCAGAGATCAACATGGAAAAGTTATTATCCCTTGAAATACAACAATATAAATGATAGATTAATTACTAAAGAACTGTAGTGATGTCGTGTATCTGTCCACCAGCCAATCAGCTACCTTGCTACAAACTGACCCAGGCCTCAGCTGTAAACAGACTATGAGGTAGACTATTTAAATAAACACATAAGAGGTAAACTACACAAACTAATACTGTAGTTAAAAATTCCTTAACAATTCTAAAATTCCCCAAAATTTAAATTTAAAAATAACTACAAAATGCAAAAAAAAAAAAATCTACTTGTAACATTTACTTTAAAAGTTTCTTTTTAAAAAGTACTTAATGCTGAAAAAAGAAAATACTGAAAAATTAGGATTATCTCAAAATCACTTTAAAAATCATAAAAACAATTACAAAACTACTCAAAATCAAAATACGTGTATAATTTAATAAGTATTTAAAATAAAAAATTACAAAGTTATTTGATGCAATTACTTAAAAATATTTCTTAAAAAAAAACATGAAGGTAAAATTAGAAAAATGCAAAGCCTCAATTATCAATTAAAATAATTAATTATATAAAACTACATAAAAAAGGCAACAATTATTGTACTTTAAAAATATTAATATGATTAACAAAATTACTTTACAAAAATACAAAAACAAATTATGTTATGAATTAAATTTTTTTTTAAATACTTAAACATCACTTAAACTTAAATAAAAATAATAATTTAATACTGAAAAAATGGAGTTACAAATTTTTTGGAAAATTAAAAATCTTTAAAATAATATTCCACAAAATTACTTAAATCAATGGTTAAAAATGCTGTAAATAAGATAAATGTTACTTAAAAATTATGAGGGAAAAATAACCTCAAAAATTTCTTAAAATCAGTTTCAAGATGACAAATTTTAAGTCCATCCTTTAAAATACTGTATTGTCCTTAAAACATTTTTCTTAAAACTTCCTAAAAGAAATCCTTAAAATGTCCTAAAAGTTTTCCTCCTAAAAATGTCTCTGTGGAAATTCATTTTTTTAACATGTATAATGGTAAAAATCTGGACCAAATAACATAATATAATATTTTACAAACAGTTAAATGTTTCATGATATTTATAAGTAATATAATCTTACTGACTTTGGTTCATGAAGTGTACTATAAGTAAGTTAACATAAGTAAACTACAGGAGCATTATGTGAACAATTAATTAATAGCATCTACTACTACTGACTGTGGAATTATCACTGTTAAATACCCAAAGTATAATTTTAATACACTAATGTAACACGTTGGGAAAAATCATACACACTTATATATATATATACTGTATACAACACTTGATATGTACTGTACCTTCATGACCTTATGAGTGTGGTGGCAGAGTGGCTACAGCACTCACCTCCTGCCTCAGAGGTCACTGATTAAATCCTGTGACACCCTCAATCCACCCAGTTGTAAATGGGTACCTAACTTCACACTTGAGGGAATGAAGGCAGTCATGTGCAGTGTCAGTCACGCTGGCTCCTCGTACATTGAAGTTCTTTGAATCATACTCTACGTTAATGAGAATTTCCAGTCAAGTGTAAACCTGAGGATATCTTCAAGTGTAAACCAAGAATACCCTCATGTAAGTGTAAACTCAGGGTTGTGACCTAGGGAGCCAGTGATGCCCTCATTCACACTTGGAGGAAGTGAAAAAACCCACAGATGAGACATACACTAATAAATTACAATAAGTTTCTCACACAGTAGTTAGATGATCTGTTCAGTTCAAGTATGTAAAAATCTCTACCTTGCCAGCTGAGAGGGCGCTTGGAAGTCCTACATACAATGCCTAGTTTCTACTCAGTTATGTAGGTTGGTGTTCTGAAGGGTGTCCAGCCACAAAATTGGCTTCAAATTGCCCGGTGACAACTGGGAAACTGTCATTTAGTAATCATGCTGACCCACACAAGCATGAAAAATAGCCATAAAAAGTGGTAGTGGTGTCATCAGTGTCATCTCAGATAACATCTAGCATGACCAGATTAAGTCTCAATGTCCACCCAGAGTGAGTTTGGCAGGAGAGCCTCAACACAAGAGAAACTACTTTGTTTAGGGATGAAACAGGACCTTGTTGATGGTACAAGCACCTGATCGTGTTAAGGAAAAGAACCTACCTACAGTAATCCCTCACCAACCACAAGAGTTATGTTATAGGATTCGCCCATGGTTCTCAAAGGCAGAGTCAAATGATAAATGCATGGTTAGGGGAAGTGATCCCTATGAGACATTTGGTACCTAAAGTCCTCAAGGTTAAAAATATGTACCACAGGGTGTATGATATTCTTAAAAAAAAAAAAAATTATCCTACTATATAAAAATACTGTACTGTACAAAGATTAATAGAGCAGTCCCCCTGACTCCATGGCCTTAACACTCTGCCTCACAACAGCTACCCATGTATGAACTTTTATACCCTTCAAGGTTTTCCGTACGTGTTACAGTTCACATACCGGGTATACGTAAAGTAATATGAGTTATATTGGTGCTTGAAAATTGTTACACTACAAGAATTATATGTTTGAAATACCTCTGGCACCATTTAAGTTATTTACGTCAATACGTACTGTACTTTCATACCTCCACAATTACAAATTAATAAATTTTTCACATTAACTAATAATAACAACCAATTTTCAATATCTAATAATCTTTTTGAAGATATGTTGCATCAGTTATGGAACCCTTAGGTTTCTTCTTATTAGAAAAGTTATTAAAAAATTAATTTGATCAGTTTCAATTTTGGATGGAGAAATGACACTTATTGAGAATCAACCTTGAAATCTCATGACAGTGAAAAGTTAACTTGAGATCATACACATAAGGACAGAGAACACACAGTACATGTAAGAATTGGTCCTATCAGAATACATTCATTTCAGCTTTATACATTTGACAGCTGCACTTCTCAGTTATCCTAAAACAAATGGTGTCTTGGATGTACAGTAGTATGAATCTGTTTTTATTTCTATAATTTTCTTGGTTTTATTTAACTGTACTTCATCCTCTTCACCACTAATCAGCCTATTAGCCGCTTGGGCAGTCTGTCACGTCTCTGTTACACACTGTTGGCAGGTTACTGGGCATGTACTGACTCCAGAGTTTGTTGAATTAACACTCCTGGGATTTTCATACGAAGATTGCATATGATATAAATTATCGCTTTAGGGTTTTCATACACAAATTTGCGTATGAACTCAAATATTAAAATAAAATAATTTTATGTTTGCGTATGAACACTAGATACGCAAGACACGCATATGGCAACATTGGCGTGATCTGGCAACTATGTAGATTGCCCTCCAAGTTTAGGTTACCACACCAGTCTCTCTTTGTGTTTCAACAACACAGGACATAATTTTGACCTACATTTATCTATGCATTTTCTCACAGCTTGTGCTGATTTGCACTTCATTACATTGATTGTATTTATTCATAAGTGTTGTGAGAGTTTTGAATCATGCCTCATGTGGTGTCTCCTGATGCCTTCTATGCGTGATTACTCGTATAAAATTTTTTATAGTTAATTTATTTACAATTCTAATGCAACAAATCCCATCTTTTATCTGAAATAGCAAACAACTCAAAAATGTTTAGAGTGGAAGACTGTGGTTGCCAAGCCTCAGATAAGAGAATGGCTCTTTTGATTGATGACTATATTACCCACCATATAAGCCCACTAATTTTGCCCCTTCAAAAAAATTCTAAAAATCACCCGGCACCTTACATGATGAAGGTTAACCCTAGGGGATGTGTCGCCAATACTGTACTGTGCTGAACGCCCCCATTTGACACACTGCTTCCCAGATGAACCAAGACTGAAACTTACAGTAAGTATATGATCACAAATTATTAAACAAAGAAAAAAAATGAAATACTGAACAGTATTGTATTGTACTTCCAAAATTAACAAGTTAACTCAGGAATATTACCAGCTTAATTAATGTTCCGGGTCAGTGGGCAGCCACCCAGCTCACTGTGGGGCTGCTACTTTTAATATTTTACCTTTATTTTGGTAATAACAGATAATTTTATTCAACTCAGAGAGGAGCCATACACAAGGGAATAAAAGTGTTTCTACTTTTATTAATAAATTGTGTTTTTATATTGACTTTAATTACCTGATGACCATCATATGAACTCTCACTTGTAAAGTATTCTAAAAATGAAGGACTATTAATACTAGCTGCAAAAGAGTGACAGAGAAGAAGACAAAAAAGAGAGAGGGGCAAATTGACCAGCTGATAAATTCGTAACCAACTTGTGATATTCGCTTCCTGTACTTTGTCTCGTACCGACCCACAAATAGTCAAGCACTTTGACCACAATCTGACAACCGTGCCTTAATAATTTCACTGTGAAAGAACAAATCCTTAAAGAGCAAATACAGGACCATCAAGTTTCTGCTATACTGCATAATGAAAATCTTTGGTGGCATAACAAAATGTAAAGTTGTTAATGTGAAAACTGCAGCACACAAGTCATCACAAGTCTTCAAATAAATGCTAAATGAATTAATTTCCTTCACTTAGGAAATATTTTTTTTATCTTATTTAGAACATATTTCATCAATAAAAGTACAGTACAGTATACTGTACGATATAAACACTTTTGCGTGATGGTGACTCAGTGAGCCGAGTGGCCTTACCTGGATCACGAAGGGTGCGGCCGCCGCCCCAGCTCCCGACTTTAAGAGTGTTTAAGTGACGACTACTACCAGGACAGTAGAAAGCCATCCCAGCATATAATGGCTGGAAAAATGTAAACTGCTTTAAAGAGGTTAGGAAAGGAAGAGGACCTGGGAAAGTGATGATGATAAATTGTCATCTGAGGAACATAATACAGTACACTATGAAGTGACCAAAGTGAACCACTTGATGGACCTGATCCAGCAAACTTCCTCACCGTGCTGGGCCAATAATCTCTTGCAGTGGCCATGGAAACTCATGGACACATAACACTAGATACTGTGGTTGGTAAATGGTGTGCATACTATAACGTGTGGATCTCCAAAACCATTGGATGGTGAGAGATTACTGTACTTGTCTTGAAGCTCCTCCATACCACTGAGTTGAGTTCAGAGACCAGCAATGACTGACACAGACAGTCAACTGTTGTCCAATCATTTAATCCCTTCATTATGGAGATGCCACTTTCACTATTCTATTTGGTTAACACCAATTATATTCAGCACCGAGGGACACGTGGGGCTTAGAAAAGCTGTAACAAGACTTCTAGGAAGAGGCACCAGAACATTTCTGAAATGACTTTAACAAACTGAGTCTTCCTAATATTTGGTGAACCCTGATAATCTAACAAGGATGGGATGAAGCAGTTTCCAGATACTTCAAGCTTTTTGTTTCAGTATTACAGTGTACAGTACTGGGACCCATACTGCTCACTCAGTATTTACATTTGTTTTATTTATTTCTTAGTGAACATGTTTGTAGTTCACCCGTGCAGCACCACAATAAATATCACCGGCCACTTACTACAACCAACTGTAAGGGTAAAAAAAAAAATCAACATTATGGTGAACATGAGTCACCCTATGGATGAGGAACCAATGTCTTAATAGAAAACATTATGAGGGTGAAGGGCTGAGTGGATACAGTGCTCACCTCCTATCTTAAAGAAACCGGCTTCTGCTCAGACAATCCCCAGGTTACCCAGCTGTAAGAGGCTACCTAACTTTACAGTTTAGGATATGAAGTTAAGTGCAGTGCTAGCCATCTGACTTTTTGTGTACAAAAGGCTTAAGCATACAGTGTAATGTATCCAAACTGCCCATCATGCCACATGACTTATGTTCACAAGGATAAAAGTTGATGAAACATAAACATAATGGTGAACAAGTGTCAATACAAGTCCAAGGATCAGACAATAGTGGCTGGGCAAAAGTACTATACAGGTACAGGCAATTAAAGCACCGCACAACACAGTGGCCACATTTGCAACAACAACAACCTCTTTAAATTTTACCGTGTACTGTATTTGAATCCACGGAAATATTTTTAAATTGACAGTGAGCCATCAAGCCTATGGGACCCAATTCCACTTACTTAATTACACAAATTGGTGCCTTCCCTGTTCCACACTTCAACAGAAATAAGTAGGCAGGAACCTCTATGAGAGGATAATAATACTGGCCTCACCAATTCCTCCAATGAGAAACACCGATACATGATCCAAAATAATTGGTTATCTTGTTACTCCACTGACCCACAGGCCAGGTCCCCTTAAGCACACAAATCATTGTATCAACGCAGTACAGTATACAAATTATGCCACACTGGGCTACACAAGGTGAACTGTGTACTCACTACACAGCATGTTGGGGTCATCAGGTGATTAATGGGTATGGTGGTTGAGTGAACACAGCACTCACTTCCTGTCCTACAGGTTGCTGGTTTACTCCCAGTCCACCCAGCTGTCAACGTCTACCTGAGTTCACAGTTGGGGAAGTGAAGGTGGTTGAGTGCAGTGCAGGTTATGCTGTCTTCTTCTGTACCAAGAGAGTTAGTATACAATATGCTGCATCCACACTGTCCCTAACAGCTTGTCAGGCATGTGGGATTCACTTTACCCTCTCAGCACACCAACTACTATGGCATTAAGTTGTTACTGCATGAAACACTTCTGAAACAGGTCAAATACACCTGTACCTTAAAATCAATACTTACAACTATAAAGCATCAATTAGAAATTTTGGGAATACACTAATCAGGTGGTAGAACTAAAGAGATGGAAGAACTGTACTTTTTAAATTAAACATGTGGAAACACCCTTCATTTTTCCCTTAACAGGTGAGAGAACAGCTGTAAAAACTGTTTTATTTGCCCTGAAACATGTGGAGATGTGAGATGACCATCTGGCAGTAGTGTGGTCAGTTATGTTGATATATAATGAATACAGAGGCGAACAAATCTTAAATGTCCTGCATTATGAACATCTCTCTTAAAATCATAGCCTTTTAAAGTAATGTCTTCTTACTTAGCCTGCAGGACACTGATGATAACACTCATTGTTGCATTATATCCCAGCCATTGTGGGATAGAACTTCCCTGGGTACATACAATACTCACATGGCATCCTTGACAAGCTTAGGCTATAAGACTACCTTACAGATCACACTGACCGTCATACTGTCATCTACACGAGATTGTCACATACTCTAAATGAACGTTCAGTTACCAAAATCATAGGAAAATAATCTTAAACAACCCACAGGATGTTCAGTAAGTAATGCAACACATAGAATTCAATAAGTAAATTTTTTCTGACGCAATTAAAATAAAACTATTAACACAACCTATTATTTTTTGTTTCAGGTAAGAGAAGCAAGAAATATGTTCACAGCTGAACATAGAAGATATTTACACTAGTAACCATAGTTATATTATTGCATAGGCTGTGTTACTTACTGAACACACTGTATTTAATGATGGCTGTTTCTTAATGTTATGATATGTGTGGTACTGGCATAAGTTTCATCATGATATGGTTAGGTGAAGTACGACGTCACACTTCACTCGGGTTGACAGAACACACGTCGGAGAATTATACTTGGAAATTATTGGAACCCTATGAAGAGATCAAATATTATTTTTATAAAACTTATGCACTACTTTTACCTATTTGTGGAAATAAAATAACAGAAACAAGAGCTCCTGCCAATCAGTTGATGTCTTATGGGTGACCACTGCACATGTTTCTTTCTGGTACAAGCTTAACGATACTGATAAGAGAACCTACAAGTCCTCACTGATAAAACCTGGCAATTTGTGTCCCAACATCACTACAATAAATCATTCAAATCAACTACATTATATATCAATAAAAATCAATAACGGAGAGTTTTACACATTAGTTTCACAATAAATTAAATAAGATATAATATATAACATCTAAATATAAAATGGCCAAGCAATGGTGAAGATATGAAACTTTCCATTAATCACCTTCATTTTCTCAGGTCACAGACTATATATATATATATAATAAAAAAGCTTTGAACACTCATCATGAAAATATGGCCGTTCTCAGCAATGATGATGAGCAACAGCAGGAATGAAGACTCCAAATGGTGCCAGCTAAAACTTATATCAACTTTAGTGCACTGACTTGCATAACTGAAAATAATAATCATTATTTTTAGAGCTTATATGTATATGATAATGTAAAAAAATAATGCAAAATAAAACTTTAAATAATATAACATAACCAGTAGTGACTGTCTCCAGATACCTTACTGCCAAGATGTGGTAATACTGTGACAGCCACCCGGTACCTTATTTGCAAGATGTGGTAATACTGGATTCTTCAGATAGTCAGATGGCACCAAAAACGCTTAAGACATTAGGCCGAGTGATTCACACATACACCCATACACACAAGCGTACACAACTTCACACTATCTTGAGGAAGCTTCTAGGGTCAGTGGCCATATGTCGCCGAGGAAATGGAATTAGGATGTTCAGAATCCAGTAACGTCCAAACACATGAAGGAAATTGTGGAACGCTGACCTATGGACCATAAGAAGACCCTGAAAAATAAATAAACAAAAATACATGATTTCATCTTCAATAACGTAAATTATTATCGTGTCTATACATTGACCAATTCTCTAATATTGTTTGGTTAGGTTAGGTTGGGTCAGATTAGGTTAGGATAAAGTTATTTCAGTTTAGTAATGATGTCATCTTCCTTGTTTAACCACTTCCTCACATTCCCTCCCCCACAACCACTTTCTCACATTCCCTCCCCCACAACCACTTCCTCACATTCCCTCCCCCACAACCACTTCCTCACATTCCCTCCCCCACAACCACTTCCTCACATTCCCTCCCCCACAACCACTTCCTCACATTCCCTCCCCCACAACCACTTCCTCACAACACATGATACAATTGTTGATGGTCTTTTTACAATAAACAAAATTTATTAGGGTATTTATTACTACCGTATCTATAAACTCAGCGTGAACACATTAGCCTATGGGTCACAGGTTAAGATGAGTGGCTTTCAAATTTATAAATGGCTTATATTATTTTTGTACCCAATTTTGTGTCACTTGGATGTATGGACAGGCTTGCTTGTAACTCTAAAAGTTCATAAGTCAACTGTACATTCATAAGTAGAGGAACACCTGTACTTAAAAATTTAGTATTATGAGTTTCTTTAGTATGCTCCTGAGGTTAATTTTTGTCCCTAAGAATACATCTCTGATCACATAATGGACGTCAGTGAGAGAATACATTTCAAGTTATGGAATTTCAGGTTACGGACCCTTGTGTAACTCGATAGATTCAGCTACTGTATTGTATTTTTACATCCTTTAATATAAACAAAATTATTCTCTTACTTATAATCTATTTCAATTCATTTACTACTTTAAGGAATTATTAGTGCTATTAGTGGTATACAAAGAAGCTCTCATATATCACTCATAAGTAAGAAATATTATCATGAATGCATCTCTACAGGAGTCATGTGGTAAGGACTCCTGTAGAGATGGTTTATATAATGCTGCATTCTCCTTGACCACATCTAGGGTGCTGTATGAGGTATGCCTGTACAGTTTAAATTGCACATGACCCAACAGCTAATGAAATGGGTCAAAAATGTCACCATACTCCCTCATGATTCACTTCACCAACCATACTTCCCCCATGATTCACTTCACCAACCATACTCCCTCATGATTCATTTCACCAACTATACTCCCTCATGATTCACTTCACCAACCATACTTCCCTCATGATTCACTTTAACCATACTCCCTCAAGCTTTCTCTTTCTCTCTATGAATTCCCGTCACCATACAACATATAAATCAATAAACCCGTACAATAAAACCATCATTATAGGTTTACTTTGTTGTATTCGTACGCTGTTTGGCCTCTGAGGACGTACACCAACTGCTGGATGACACAAAAACCCGTAAACACAACAGTTGCTGAAGACACATAGATCAACGTCACCCAGCCTACTTCAGCCAACTCAGCCTGTGAAAAAAATAAATAATTAATGTGCGTAATATAACCTAACCTAGCCAAACTAAACCTACCAAAATCAAACACTTCCTAACCTAACCTGCTTTAAACCATTTACACCAAGTCTAACCCAACTTAACCTAAAATGACTCGACCAAACTTAAAACTATCAAAATTCAATCCATCCTTACCATGTCTAACTTAACTTAATCTAACTCAACCAAACCTAAGGAAACTTTATCCAATCTAATCTTCCTGAATCCAACCCAACCCATCCTAACCCGACCCAACTCACCTTAACCTAACCCAACCCATCCTAACCCGACCCAACTCACCTTAACCTAACCCAACCCATCCTAACCCGACCCAACTCACCTTAACCCAAGCCAACTCATCCTAACCCAACCCATCCTAAACAATCCAAATCCAACATTACCCCCAGATGATATATTGGATAATCCTTCATAAAAAAACAACAAAGGGACATAAATATTACACACAAACGCTAATTTATATTGACAATACTCCACAATGGTGAGAAATAATACTAGCCAATAGAACTTAAGACTCATTACCAATAGATCAACAAATTCGATTACTCGGCAAAACCTCAACCCCACACGTGCCAAGTTAAGGGAGTTTTACCGTACAACAACAACAAACAAACCACTACGTCTTACCTTGCCCAATAGCCACATTACTAGAGTGAAGGGGTAGAAGTAATACATGAACTCAGACGACAAGAACGTTCTTAAGTACGTGCCAGAGTAGTAGTGATGAAGCAGTCTGGCTGAGTAGATACACCTGCAATGACAGTCTAGGGTTAATACACATGTAAACACACCTGCAATAAGTCTTGGGTTAACCTTTATAATACCACTACAACTATAATCACAACCACCATTATTATCAAAACCACTATCACTATAACTACAACTACTACTACCACTATAATCACAACCACCATTATTATCAAAACCACTATCACTATAACTACAACTACTACTACCACTATAATCACAACCACCATTATTATCAAAACCACTATCACTATAACTACAACTACTACTACCACTATAATCACAACCACCATTACCACTATACGGTAATCACAACTACAAACTCTATAACCACAATCACTATTACCACTATATAACCATCACTATAACATAACCTAAGTTGACCTAACACTTACCCAATACAGTACAAGCATAAAACATTAACCTAACCTTACCTAAGCTAACCTAAACTCATCTAATCTGACCTGTCTTAAACTAACCTTACCACATGTAACCTAACTTAATTTTACCTTACCTTCTCTAACTTAATCTAACCTTACCATCTCTAACCTAATCTAACCTTACCATCTCTAACCTAATCTAACCTTACCTTCTCTAACCTAATCTAACCTTACCATCTCTAGCCTAATCTAACCTTACCATCTCTAACCTAATCTAACCTTACCATCTCTAACCTAATCTATCCTTACCATCTCTAACCTAATCTAACATTATCTTCTCTAACCTAATCTAACCTTACCATCTCTAACCTAATCTAACCTAACCTTACCATCTCTAACCTAATCTAACCTTACCATCTCTAACCTAATCTAACCTTACCATCTCTAACCTAATCTAACATTATCTTCTCTAACCTAACCTAACTTTACCTAACCTTCCCTTCTCTAACCTAACCTAACTTTACCTAACCTTCCCTTCTCTAACCTAACCTAACTTTACCTAACCTTCCCTTCTCTAACCTAACCTAACTTTACCTAACCTTCCCTTCTCTAACCTAACCTTTTATTAACTCTCTGTCTCTAGCCGAGCCTAACCTCAAACTTACCCTATACAAGCATAAAAACAGAAGAGGATGAAGTAACAGAGATTGTATCCCCCAACACACGTGCCCAAGAAAAAGCAGTGATGGTCTCGTTGATGTATGCAGCGGTCACAGAGAGAACAGTGGTGGCTGCGCTCTGGCTTGTAGATGTTACATGTTGGGCAGTAGCGCAGTTGTCTGCAGTCATCGTGTGATAGACCAGGGGCCAGTTCGCTGTGGTAAAAAATTTTTGTATTACGATAATGACTTTTTACTTGTTTTAAATTCACATAAATATATAAATTGTTCATCTTACTGTCTTGAAAAACATTTAAAACTAATTTTAATATATATACGACAATGCTCAAAAATATATACATTCAAGAATTCATGTGTATGTGTGTATGTCAGCTTTTTGGGTTCACAGTTTGGCCATTGTCACAAAATTAAAAATATTCCTATAACTCCAAACACTTGAATCTCCTACATTAAAATATCAACACTTCACATGACACTACAGTACAGTACCTGTTTCCTGAAGACTTGTCGATGTAACTCTTGGTAAAGAAAAATAAGAGCCAGTTTCCAAAAATTTCAATTATGAAAAAATAGACAATGACAGTGTTGACTCCGCTTGCCTCCATGAGCTGTGAAAACAAGTTATTTTATTAGTCACCTGAGGGCTGTATCTGGGGTCAAGTTAGGTCAGAATACTGTACAGTGTTACTTGTTGAAGAAACAAATACAAAAATATGTGAATAATTAAGGATTACTGTAAAATAAAACTATTTTTAAGTATAGCACACACACCCTGTACAGTACTTACTCTTAACCTTAAGCTGTACATTATAAGAGTTTAGATAAGAGTACACCTCTTAAAAGGGAGTCTCGTCTCACACGTCTTTGCTTAATGGACAGGAAAAAATATTCATCTAATAGTACCTAGTATGATAAACAGTACCTAGTATAGCAGGCAGTACAGTACCTGATAGGAGTAGTAGCTCAGTAGCACTATGATAACTAGGGTGGTGAGAGGGGCTAAGCTCGTCAGGAAGTCCACCAGACGCCGTAAGATCATGATCTTGTCGACGTTGATGAAGGAGCTCCACGCCCGACGGCACACACATAGTGGCGACACCATCCAGCCGACTGTCCTTTTGTCCACAATGTTGGAATACACTAGTTGACGTCTTGCGATTGAACCTGCCGAGGAAATTTATTATTAAAGTGTGTCCTTTGTTGCTGTTGGGTCACCGTATCAATCCCAGGACATTTACCCAATCAACTGAAATAAACTGGGGAAACTTTAGCTAAAGTAAGCTGGAGATGAAATACACTGGGGTGCCTAATCTCAAGATAAGATAAGCTGGGGTGCCTTATCTTCCATTGCAATAGATGGAGTGCATATCTTCAGGTGTATGTGGTCATTGTCTTATGGACTGAATATTGATTACCTAGAAGGAATCCAGAAGAGGATGACAAAGCTTAACACGGGCATCAGGAGACTTGAGTATACTGTACTGTAAAGTCAGATCATGAAAACTAAACTTACATTCCCTCAAGAGATGTAGAGTGAAGGAGATATAATTGAGGTGTATAAATGAATGTCAGGGTTAAACAAAGGTGATACTGTATAACTTTTACTTTTATTCTCTTCACCGCTTATCAGCTTGTTAGCCGCTTGGGCGATCGATCACATCTCTGTTACGCACTGTTGGCAAGTACTGGGCATGTACTGGCTCCTCAATGTATCTGAACCTGCTGCAGTGTTGGTCAAGTCTGGTCTTAAAAGAAATCACACTCGGAGCTGTCACAACACTCTCTGGCAGATTGTTCCAAGAGTTTACAATTCTGTCTCCGAAATTAGACACTAATTGGACATAAGAGTAGTGGATCTGGACAGATATATGAGTGAAAAGGACTAATATTAAAAGGGCTGCTTAGTATGGACCAATAGACCCACTTCAGTTTCCTATATTTCTATGTTTTTAAATTACAAATCCTCATCAGGTTAAAGGCTTTTAATGAGAAAAGGATATATCTTCAATAGATTTTTTTTTAAGTTCCTGGTAAACATTAAGATACAGCTCCCGAGTACTAACAATATGTGACCATTAATCCTACAAAGGTAATCACACCTCAAGATTCACCTCCAAGTAATACTGTACTCTAACTTCAAGTAAAACTTCACCTTCAGGTAAAACTCGACGGTAAGTTCAGGTAAAACTCAACCCTTAAGGAATAACCCTTCACTACTCGATTACAATACTTGACCCATATATAACACTTGAGCCTTATGATAAATACATAACTAGCAGCAATACTCACGATCTCTCACTCTTAAATCAGGCGATAGTTTCTGGCATTTGTTAATATGACGGGAAATATTCTCCATTAATAGTGAGTGGCTTATGGGGGTAAACAAACCCGCATCCAGAGAACAAATACGGGGATGATATTCCTTTAAGATGCTTGGGACCTTATTTAACAATGTCTAATATCTTGAAATGACTTCAGTTTTATTTAAATCTTATTATTAGCTTTAATATAAGGGGTGTTGTTCTGTTATCAATATTAACCTTTCACCAAAACCGCATATAGAGAACAAGTACGGAGAAAATATTCTTATAAACTTAAATATTAGATATTCTGAGTAATTGTATCAATATTTATGTTATTTTAAACATTCATATAATTCATTATTAATTTTATACACATTAACAATGTTGGAATACAGAACAGATAGCTTAACTCTCTCGTTATCTCCTTATATGCAGTTAACACACATCGAGGGAGCAAGTCATGGAGGATATATATTTACTTATGTTTATTGAGACGTTATTAAACTCTATTAATTTTATTTAGTCTCATTAGATACTTATATAATTTTAATATATGTTTTTGGATTTCATAAATACTTTTATATAGAATAAAAATATTTCGAATACGGTATTACTCCGTTAGCAGTTAGTTTGATAGATTGTTATATAGATAGGTGCAGTATTATATTATATGGTAGTTGTGATTACGTCGGATTTGGTTGGTTATCATTGTCCACTTTAAATTAGGAACTAATACGTGGTTTAATTGGTTTTATTTTTACTTTATTTGTAATATTATTCTGTAAGATGGAATAACACTACTATGCATCACGGTCAATGGTTAATAACGCAATGACATCCGGCAGAGTTTATGACAACTACGATAAGATTAAACATTAATTCCTTGGTAACTTTACTGAGGCTTTATTATTAGAGTTAATTGAAACATAAATGATAAAAGATGACAAAATGTTATCTTCTCTACACGACAGTCACCAAAATCATGCAATGCATTACAACACACATCTTCCAAGTCCAGCTAAATTTATGTAGTTTCTTATACGTGGATAATAAGTCAAAATTAATATAAACACCATAAGTTATACTACTGCCTGGGAAGATATTGCAAGCGTAATGTGTTGTCCGATGGTAGACCCTGCTACCACATGGCATCACCAAAATTGTAGCCAAGTCCCAAGTTGCTGATCTGACCTTCTGCCTCATTAAAACACAATTGCAGGGTTTCAATTCTTTATCTTACTTTGACAACACAACATACATATATCGCTTCTCAGTCTTGATCTGTTTTATTTTATCATTTCTGCAGGGGCGGATCCAGGAGGGTCCTGGGGGTCCAGACGCCCCCCACCCCCCTTTCATCAGAAAATTCCAGTACTTTTTCTTGATTGCAGTATTGTAATAAAGCGTTTTGTATAATGTACAGTAATTACCATTGATAGCAGCCAGTTGTGTGATAATTGGCAAGATGCATAAAGAAGAACATGGAGGGATAGGCAGTAGGGAGGACTGAGGTACAGTAGATGGAAACCAGTATTCTACAGGAGAGTGTTAGGCTCGTGGCTCCAAATCATCATTCACTTGCTGGAATATATTGGTAATTGGTACTCTGTTGAGTGGGTTATGGTTTTATTACATGTACTCAGGGTTAGTGGTGGTACTACATGTACTCAGGGTTAGTGGTGGTACTATATGTACTCAGGGTTAGTGGTGCTGCTACATGTTCCTATGGATGGGGCAACAAAGCTTACACTCTCACATATAGCACCTCCCTGAGTAGTCATAATTTTGTGCGACCATAGTACACAAACGTCATCAAACATGGCCACGTTCATGGGCCAATTTGGTTTTGAGTATTGAGTCAGCGAAAAACAACATAGCTCAAATTATGACCATTCAACCCCTGGTAATGGTTGAATGTGATACAGAACGGTTGATTTCAGTCGTGCAAGAGAGGCGGCCGATTAGAATTCGAACAATTTCTGTGAAAAAAATAATTCATTCTGGTAATCATTTACAATCGATAACATATTTTCTGTTATGCTTCATTTTGTTCTCATTGTCATAATAATAACATGGATAGATATTTTCTTGTGTGAGGGATCATGACAAAAGTTGATAATTTTTTCTTTATTTGGAAATTTTCCAGAAAACTGTGGAACAATTTTTTTTTTCTTATTACAGTATAATTCAATCTTCTCCATAAGCCTGAGATATAAGGATAAAATAATTATGAGTCAGTTGTACAACGTGTAAAATTTATTCAAATTTGATTATGTAAGACAGGTGTCTACAGGCAGCAGAAATTGGCACACACTTCAATAACTTAAGACTATACAACTGTGTAGGAATATACTGCATGTTCTGTCCTTTACTTTAACCGCATCTTGTGTTAGAATATTTAACTTGGAAACATTTTACAAACTACAAGTAAGCAATTTGTGAATGATCAGTTACATATGACTGTACAGTCAGACCATAAATAACTTTTACCTCTGGATGCTATGGATTTTAAAGTGAACATTACCTCTCCTGTCGTCTTGATGCGGTTGGTAAGCGTGATTGCGACGTTATTTCCATCAGTGGTTTTCAAAATATTTTAAACAGATTTCAAAACATAGAATTGCACAGAAAATAAAACTGCATTATGACAAGTGAGTGGAATAGTGTCGCAGGTAGCTCCACATTATCCCACATAAGGAAAGCAAGGCTACCTATGTCAACCCAGATGTGAAAACTTTGTATGGTATCTTTCATCTATTTGTCATTGTTTGACACTGAAGAGGTAAAAGTAATTTATGGTCTGACTACATGAGCAGTGTTATCCCACATAGACTGCTATATCCCCATCTGGACGATCATCTGTTATATGCGATTTCTGCCATTCCACTTAGATGATTACAGTAGGTTAGGTCAAGTTAGGTTGTATCATCAATCGTCTATTTTCAAAACGTCTATGTGGCATGAACTGTAACCACATCAACTGACGACTGTTTACATTAAGAGCACAGCTGGTGGGACATCCAAAATAGCGGTTAAATTTTTGGCATTTTCTCTTTCTAAGACGATGGGCATTTCAAACGCCCTCATAAATGGTTTCATGGTTCTAGTGTACCTGCCAACAAGTTTTTCTCTAAGATCTTTTACCTGCATCTTTTTTTTTTCCTTGAGTAAATATAATGTGCGTTACTTCAAACATACTTAGCAATAAAATGATGTGTCTTTCAAGGTGTTTCAAGTCTCAAAATAACACAATTAACATGGCTTCTCTACTGTACGAACTTGTATGTTTTACTTTACCAACGTTATGGGCTGCCTTTAAGACACTCTGCACACAGAAATGGCTTCTCTCCTATATGAATTTTCATGTGTAATCCTAGAGCAGCTTTTTGAGGAAAAGTTTCAAGACAGACCAGACAGTAAAATACTTCCTTTTTCTTGTCAGCTCCAACAGGGTTTACCAGAATAAACTTGTGTGAAAAGTCTTTGAGACATACTGAACACTGAAGTGGCTTCTCTTCAGTAACAACTTTCCTGTGTTTTACTAAAGAGGGCTTTTCTTTCAATCTTCCAAGACATTTCACACAAGGTGACTTCTTTCTTCTAATTATTTTCTGACGCTTACCTACAGTAGCTTTATGTGGTAGGGGCCCAAGACAAACTCTACACTGATATGGCCTCTCTCTTGTGTGAGTTTTCTTGTGTGTTACTGAAGAGTCTTTTTCTTTAAGTGTTTTAGAGCCATCTACACAGTGATGAAGTTTTATATGATTTTCTAGATTAGGTTTTTGAGCATAACGTTTAAGACAAACTTTGCAAGCAAATGGCTTCTCTTCCGTGTGAACTCTTTCATGAACAGTTAATGCACACTTCTGTAAAAATCTTTTACTACAGTATGAGCACTGATATGGCTTCTCTCCAGTGTGAATTTTCAGATGCACTTCTAGGTTACATTTTCTTGAAAAGCTTTTAAGACAAACAGAGCAGTGAAATGTCTTCTCTCCAGTATGAATTTTCATATGTAATTTTAAATGGTATTTACGTGAAAAGCTTTTGAGACAAATGTCACATTGAAAAGGTTTCTCTCCTTTGTGAAGTTTCTGGTGCACCACTAAATGTGATTTTTGTCCAAATTTTTTAGGGCATTCTGAACAATGATATGGCTTCTCTCCTGTATGAATCCTTATATGCTTTACTAGATCAGAGTTTTTGGAGAATATTTTAAAACATTCTGTACAGCGAAGTGACTGCTCCTCTGAGTAAACTTCCATGTCTCACTTTGATGGACAGATGCTTAATGTGACACAGGATAAGAGAGATACTTTTTATGTTTGACTGTCAATACCACCAACTACATACTGTGCAATATACAATACCTGTTAGCAGTGAAAAGCAAACAAATTATTTAACACTAAGTAATACTATACATACAGTACATTGTAACTCCGATGTCATGATGTGAGGGCAAGTTGCTTATATTCACTTGGAAAAATTGTGTTTACCATAAAAAGATGAATGTTTGCCAAACTTGTCAAATACAGAGTGCAAACTGTACCTGTTACCAACACACAGCCACACCACTACAACTGTTGCATCACTCTCTTATTGTCTCTCAGTATACCTGTGGTGAGAAAAAATATAACAATTAATAAAACAAGTCTACTGTGCTCATAACTACTTTAACATTGACTTATTACACAATAAAATAAAATAAAAGTGTAAACTAAAACACCAGAATACTTATACTTTTCCCTCACTTTACTCCTGAGAGAATTAAGGGCATAAAAACCTACAAGATGAGGAAAATAATAACAAAGACACAGGCAAGAACAACAAGCACAGTACAAGTGTCAATATCAATATGTTTATAACTTACATCAACACAGTCAATAATGTACAGTACCTCATTCAACACTAATCATTACCTAACCTCCTACCACCAACAGCCTTAACAATATTAAACAATACCATTAGAGTATCATAATTTGTGTACTGTGAAGATAGCTATAAGTCCAAGTATTATTCTTTACATAATTCAATCTTATTTTGAAAAAGTGGGTCACATAAGTACGTTAGGGGCAGTGTGGTGCTGTAAAACTCAGTGGTGATCATACATTTTAGAGCTTGTATGTGCCCAGCACTTAGCACCTGCCAACAGTGTGTAGCAAAGAAATGACTTACTGTCCGACCAACTAGAGAAGTGACCACTAGTGAAGAGGATAAAGTAAAGCAAAATTAAAAGCAAAAAAGTATCAAAAAGTATGCACAGGTGTTGCTGCATCAACATGTAATGAAAACTTTACTTGTGGGTTGTGTCTCACACTGCACCACAGCTAGTGGCTCAGTCCCTCAGTCACTACCATACTATTTCTGGAACAAAAACTTTGCTGAACCTCAGTTGGAAACACTTACTGCACAAGACTATGTTGGGGATTCATTCAAGGTTGACTCTCCTCCTGCCATGGAGACCCAGACTGAAGATAATGACTGTGTACAGTAGGTGAAACAGATGCTCCTGCTCCTCCTTCAACCTCCCTTTAACACTGTGCTCACCACCACAGTTTCCCTGTAAGTACAATACTGTATTTTAATTCTGAGTTCTTTATAGCAAATAAATTTAAGATGTATTACTGGACAATACAACTTAAAATTTGTCAGACCTGAACAAAACACATCAAAATACATTAGAAATCAAACATCTTGTGAAAACATTCGAGGGTGTGATAAAACGAATACCCGGTAATTACCAAAAAAGGAGCAAAATCTAAGCAGAAAAAATATTTCTTGTTGCCAAAATATTTGGACGGACTAAAGAGTAACGTTTTACCACTTAACTTAACCAAAACCTAACCTAACCAAAGTCTAACCGAACTTACTTCTAAATAATTACTGTACCATTTAACGACCGAACACCTGTTAGAGAAGATTGGGTACAACTAGCCTAGTAAGCTGTATATAGTACGTAGAGTGCAATGGGTATTTTTTTTACAAGTAGACAACCAATGATCCTCTAGGTTAGTTGGGTCAGGCTAAGTTAAGTTAGGATAGTTTTGGTGCTTTTTGGTTGTTGAGAAATGTTAAAATTCATGGTTGTCCACTTTTAAAAATTTACCGTGAAATATTACTAGTAGCATATTTAATTAACTTGATACAACCAGCGTCTAGTTCAATAAGTATTTAAAACTGACATTACCTCGTTAAGATGAAGTTCATAAGTTATTGGAGGTTACATTTAACTTCCGCTACAATTGGATTGTAGTCTTTCCTTTCGAGATACAAAGAGTCATCCTTCAAGTGTCAGGGGCGCCAGTGTTGTGAGGAGATGATCAGTTGTTTTCCGGTGTCAATACTTACGTTTTCTTTTATTAAACCTTTTCAGCTAAGACTATTCCTTCTTGTGTGAATGGAGGAAATTATCTTTATTTTCAGGCTAGACATTTCTTTGTACTAGTAGAAAATTATATATATATATATATATATATATATATATATATATATATATATATATATATATATATATATATATATATATATATATATATATATATATATATATATATACTGTATATATTTATAATTTTCTACTAGCACAAAGAAATGTACTTTTGATATGGCGTGGGAACTTATAGAGGCTGTTTGGAGTCAAATTTGTCTTGATCACTTCGGTGGCTGTTCATAAGACCTTACCTGAGAGCTTAAGATTTGGCAGGTCGTTGTCAGCCGCCTGGTTACATCACTTGACACCATTATCAAACCTCCCTCTGTAAATGCTCTTGTCATACAGCTGAAGAGGACCATAGCTTATTGTACAGTGTGTGTGTGTGTGTGTGTGTGAAATGGTTTTATTTTTTACGGGAATTAGCTCACCCAGACACAGGTCACCGACCCACATCGGGGCTCGGGGGGACATATTATGCTTCCAATATCTTCCCAGGTAGTAGTACCTAACTGTTTGATAGCTGCCTACTACCTATTCAATATACAAGAATAAAAACAAATGAGATCAAGTTTATAAGTATATTTTGTTAGCTACAAACCACACATGTATTGAGCTTAATAAGTATTTTAACATTAAAGTATAATACAGTACATGTCAACGGTAATAAGGTTCCTAAACAGTAAACAATGTTCTTAATATAATATCTAAAATAATGGAAAAGCCTGGACTCTTCAAATTCCTTATCAACAATCATAATGTGCATCCAAATGTTAAGAATTTGTTTAGTTAGTTGTTGGGATAAACCTACAGGAAGAGTTGTGTTCATAAATATTGTCTGTGTTGGCTGCAGGAACTCCATCAAGGGCTGAAACAACAACAGGTGGATTCTTGCATAAAGTAAACACAAGAAATAAGATATATACTGTATACTCGCCCGGTCTTAACACACCTTCAATTTCTCGTGTGATTCCTTTATACTTTATTACTGTGTGTTTAATAGGAGCACCTCAGTATACTGTACGGTGAGGAATACTTCTCAAGTATACGTATTCAAGTTAGTTACAGACGGTATACATGTTCTCTTCATAAGTTAAACATCACTTTTTGTAATATTAACATTTCAGGTGATCACTTATCACTGCAATTCTTCTTTGGAAATATTTTCGTCCTTCAGCTTGTGAGGTGAATGGTTTTCTGTTTCAAGAGTTGTTGAAATATGTACAATAAACTTTGCCATATGGTGTAAGCTTCTGACTTTTTCCAGATCTCCTTTAACCTTATACTGGACTTACTCTTAATTTTTACAGCTAAGATACCACTACTAGCAGTTGTGGGATGGAGGCCGCCACACAGCCACATAATTCAATGTTTCCCATGAGGAGGCACCACTGGCAAGATCAGATTCTTGTGCCTGAATTTCATGTGAGCACGGTAGTTGCTGGGGTCACTGGCTCTATAAGGGCACAGCTCACACTGGTACGGCTTCTCTCCTGTGTGGGTCCTGATGTGCTTCTGAAGATCTTTGTTGCACGTCGCCCGGTAGTCGCAGTAAGAGCAGGAGTGTGGTCGACGGTCTGAGTGTGCAGACATGTGAGCTCGGAGGCGCTTCCTGTTGCCAGCCACGAAGGGGCAGTGTGGACACCTAGAGACACAGATTTATAAACTATTAGAACCATGAGACTCAAAGTGGTATCCACACACTTAACTAAAATGGTGTAGTGGATCATTGTGAATTAGCTACGTGTGTAACTAGGAGTCACACCTAACCCTTTGAGTGTATAGGAACTTCAGGATTAATGTTACACGTCTTTATGACCTTCACCTGACCCAACCAAACCCAATCTACTCTAACCTAATCCTAACCCAAATCAATTTAACCCAAACAAACCCTACCTAACTTAACCCAACCCATCCAACTAACCTAAACCTAACCAAACCCAACCTAATCCTAACATAACCTAACCTAACCCAATCTACTCCAACCTAACTCAGCCTAATCCAGCCCAAACTAACCTAACCCAACACAACTTACCCTGAAACTGTTCCCACTGAGTTACAATCACACATACAACACAGGAAATATAGAACACAGGTAAAATCATACAGGCAACAAAGGTACATATACATAACACAGGTACACTACAGTAACAATGTGTGAGTCTTACCTGTAACATAGTAGAGAGAGGGGACCGGGTATCATCACATCCTCACCACCACCACCTGCCCATCCCGCCACCTGAAGGGGAAAGATACAAGAGCGTTAACAGCTGAACTATAGTGGTTAATGCTAGTCCCTTTATTTTAATTGGGTTAGGTTAGGTTAGGATTAGGCTAGGTTAGGCTAGGCTAGGTTAGGTTAAGTTTAGGTTAGGTTGTATAAGGTTGGGTGAATTTAGGTTAGATCTCTTTGTTTTTGTCCCGACTTTGTGTTAATTTATATTATTATTGTTATTTTTTTAACAATGTTCAAACATCTATCTAATTCTTATGTAGCTGGAGAACCTTGTCCCTTCAGGCTCTGAGGATAGAATAGATGATGTTCTGAAACGTAAACTGACAGTGGTGAATAACTCATCACTCAGATCTCTGTGGTCTACCTGGTGTTAGTCTTATTAACTTACCTCATCCATGTAGCAAATCTATTGTTGAACTGGGCAATAATTGTGTCCAGCTCGTGAAATGGGCTTCCAAACTACGAGTAGACCACCCAACCTAGCCTAACTTAAGCTGACCCATCCTTACCTAATAGACCTAACCCAGTTCGTAAATTTGCACTGGCCTCAACTGACTAACCTAACCTAACCTCACGAGCAGAACAATAAAACTATAAAATAAAAAATAAAATAGACTTCAATATTGATTCTCACAATTACCAAAGTATACGATTATGTTTACATTAAAGAGGCGAAAGTAAGGAAGTCATCCCCACCTTACGAATGCCAGCTGGTTTCTGGGTGGCGTGTACGACAATGTGCTTTAAGGTTACTGTTGGCATTTGTACGATAGCCACACACAGAGCAGGAGTATGGCTTCTCTCCTGTGTGAATCCGTACGTGTTTCTTTAAGTCATTGCTCCTGTAAGTACTGTAATTACAGTGCGGACAAATGAAGAGAGAACCTTCAGTATGTTGCTTCAAGTGTTGGGTAAGCTCCACCCTACAGCAGGAGGAGAAAGAGCAATACACACAGCAGTAGGAGGCAGGCAGGATGGGGGGGCCCTGGTGGCTGCTCACACCACTCGCACAGGTAACACTCAACATGCCATCTTCAGGTATCTGCAAAGACACGCTATCGTTACTTCATGTCCTTATACACACACACACACACACATACACACACGTATATTAATTGCTGATGACACTAGTGTACAGTGGTCACCCAACTTGCAGCTGAGGACAGTGTAGTTCAGTGTAGGACAGTGTAAGATGATTCTCAAGATAGGTCTAAGCTGTTCTGAGGCAAAACCAAGATGATGGTAAAATGCAAACAATAACTTATGCTACTCGCGTCCATCAAGTGAGAAAACTAAAGTGTCGCCCATTGAGAGGTACTTTCAGTAGTCTGGGCTCTTTAGCATTTTCAGAACATAGAACTCAGTTGGGTTAGGTTAGGCCATAACACTCGATTGGGTTAGGTTAGGTTGATATTACAGTAGTGTACTAACAGACCATTAGGGCAAGAATCGTTGGTTTCTTATTGTTGAATATTTAAGCCTATGATTCAGTGCTTCCCGCAGGTCGTTTAAATCACAACTGTAGGCCACTAGTCTGTGCTGCAGGTAATTCTTCTCTTATTGATAGTTGTGATGAAGGTAAATAAAGCCAAACAAGACGACCCATTTTGGTTTAGTGTTATTTTTTATTTACATTCTGGTGACAATTCCAGCCTCCTTACTCCTTCTGAACCAGTGTCTCATTTCATTTTGTTGAATGATGCTTTATACAAGGTTGTAACACTCACAGGTTTGCATATGCCTCATTGTCATGTTACTCAGTACAGTACGTAGCTCTGTCTAATCTTGTACTGCCAGTTGTCTTGAATATCATGCACCATTTAATGTGCCTCATGCTTCTCATCCTGGACAGACAAGCTAAACTTATTTACTTTTAGCTAAACTCATTTATTTTTGGCCTGCCATGGGACGAGATATTATTTCTCACGTCGATTCATGTGTGCTAAGCATAAGGGTTCTGTTGGCCCTCCTGTTCTGATACTGTTAATATCCATTCATTAAACACCCTTGGGATACCGTTGCCATTGATTTATTGAAGCTTCCATTAATAGAAAATGGATATCATTAATTGTCTGTTTGCATTGATAATTTTTTCAATTATAATTTGGTCAGTTGCAGTACTTTTTCTTCCATGAGGAATCACAAGTTACAGTTACTTGTCCTGGTATTCCTGTTGAGTCATTCTTTGCGAACAATTATCTAACAAATGATTATTGTGCTGTTTAACCCTTTCGCTGCATTTTGGGCACTTGTCATTTTATTCTGTCTACCACCAGACGAGCTTATTCGGCTTAGGGCAACCTCCAGCAGCCAAAGGGTTAATAACCGCCGTGGTACTACTGTTGGGTGGGTACAGTGCTGACCACAATCCTTCATCACACATCATATCCAGGTATATCAGAGAGACAAGTCAAAACACTTGAGGTAAGAACGACAAATATATTATCATAATGTGTCCTGATCTTACAGAGGAGATTAACAAAAGTAACTTATACACAAACTTGATAACTGTACAATGTTCAGTTAGAAGTGAATGGGAGTAAACTTTGTATAACACAAATACTTCATCATTAACTGTACTTTAGGATGAACCAAAATTCAACATAACATATTTCTGCATTATATGAACATCATCTGTGGGAGCACCATCACAACACTGTGTCGAGGTAAACACTCTTCACTACATACACCGATTTTAATCATTTATTACGACAAAACTAACGAAGCCACTCTTTCTCTGGGACTGTCAAAAGGAAGTTCTCCACCAATGTCAGCATCTTAGGAAATTTTAAAGGAAAGATTCCGTGAGACTGTTAGAAAAGGTCAGAATGATATGCTACATTTTGTAAGGAGGGAAACAAAATACTACTTTGATGCCCACAGAGCCACAACACAAGCTCATATTGATCTTCAATTGTTTGAAAATAAATCTCTTCTGGTTATTTTTTATCATTACATCTCGCTTTTTTCTGTAGTTTTGTTAGTTAGTTATAATAATTGTTTAAAAACGGGATATCATTTGCATAAATGAGGTGTGAGGCACATTACACCATGGAACTCAACACAAACTACTAATACTAGAACATTATTGTTAGTGCAAGTCATTAAGTAACACTCCACACTTTTATTAGTGATATATGGCTGAGTTAATTGTCTACACCTGCGTCAGTCATCACTATGAACGGCATTCCTGACTGACAGGCAGGCGGAAACAGTTTTCTCCCTGACAGCGTGTAGGTCTGCCCTCACAGTAATAACATCACCTTCCTTCACCGACACAACACACAGATGTAACTTTCATCCATCACTGAAATATTTGTCATCACTAAAGTCATTGTTTTCAGCAGTATTACCGCGAGTTTGTAGTATAAGTGTAGGTTCATATCTTCACATTACCATGTTTCATCCTAACACATGTCACTGAGTCAGTCTCTCACAGTTTAAGTAAATAAAGATCAATGAAGGAGGCAGCTAACATTACCAGCTAGTTGGCGTCGTGCCTCGCACACTATATAGTCTGTCTAAGAAAATTATACCTAAGCGTTGTGAACACAACTGTGTGTTCTGTCAGAATACATGTGCCTTTTTGCAAACAACAATCTTTGCAGTCAGCTTTCAGATAGTAATGTTGTAATTTTGATATCAGTTCGCTAAAAAATATCATTGAAGTAATCTGTCAACACGGAAACATTCTTTACTGGCTGTGCTAATATGAAAAAACATTTGCTGAACGTTGTATGGTAAACACAACCAAAATAATATCATCACTTACTGAGTCTGTAAATCAACAACTCTAGTTATCAAACAAAACAGTGTCTGTCATCCACCTCAGTTACCAGAACTGTGGGTACACACCGCCCCATTCTTTACTTTTGATACAAGCCAGATTTTCACAGGTGTAATTATACTTGTTAAATACCTGATATGAAGCTGTTGTTCACAAAGCTATGGTTCACTAATTTCTTACAGGTGTGTGTGTGTGTGTGTGTGTGTGTGTGTGTGTGTGTGTGTGTGTGTGTGTGTGTGTGTGTGTGTGTGTCACTACTGTTTCATGACATTTTCGACTCTGACAGTAGAGTGTCTGTTCTTTAAATGGGCGCTAAGGTTACTAGGGTCACTGGTCTGATAAGGGCAGAGAGGACAGCAGTAAGGCTTCTCTCCAGTGTGGGTTCTGAGGTGCTTCTTCAAGTCGTGACTTCGGTGTGTGCGGTAGTCACAATGTGGACACACAAAGGGCCACCCATCACTCGGCCTGCGGAGGAGCTGGGTAAGAGGGAGCGGGGGGCAGGTGGTGGTGAAAGTGCCCATCGGGGACTTGTGAGAGCCAACAGCTGACGACGGTGGCCTGGGCTGACCTCCCACACACTCTCCTATTATTGGCCTCCACGACCCGCCTTCAGACATCTGTAAAGACACGCCAACGTTACTCGAGATATTGCAGGCGTGAGGACACTTAACCTCATGTCCACCACCACCACCACCACCACCACCACCACCACCACCACCCTCAACACCACAATACTTCACATGATGTTCAGAAACACTGTCACTATATTCACTACCACAACATAACACAATACTCCACACAATGACGACCAATATCCCTGCGACCTGTTAGATTATAAATGGGACCTACACGACTGCCATACAGCTATAGGGACAGTGTCGAGAGAATAAACTGAATACTAAGGTTCGGTACACAAGGAGGCAGTGTACTCGGCTGGTTGAGTGTCGACCGCTGCAAACTTGAACCTGTAACTCTTCACTAACATCATCTTCCCTAACATCTTCCTCTTCACTAACATCATCTTCCCTAACATCTTCCTCTTCACAAACATCTTCCTCTTCACTAACATCTTCCTCTTCACTAACATCATCTTCCCTAACATCTTCCTCTTCACAAACATCTTCCTCTTCACTAACATCTTCCTCTTCACTAACATCATCTTCCCTAACATCTTCCTTCACAAACATCTTCCTCTTCCCTAACATCTTCCTCTTCCCTAACATCTTCCTCTTCACTAACATCATCTTCCCTAACATCTTCCTCTTCACAAATATCTTCCTCTTCCCTAACATCTTCCTCTTCCCTAACATCTTCCTCTTCCCTAACATCTTCCTCTTCACTAACATCATCTTCCCTAACATCTTCCCTAACATCTTCCTCACAAACATCTTCCTCTTCCCTAACATCTTCCTCTTCACTAACATCATCTCCCTAACATCTTCCTCTTCACTAACATCATCTTCCCTAACATCTTAACATCATCTTCCTCTTCACAAACATCTTCCATCTTCCTCTTCACTAACATCATCTTCCTCTTCCCTAACATCTTCCTCTTCCTCTTCACAAACATCTTCCTCTTCCCTAACATCACCTCATTAGTACTGTCCATGAATTCTATTGGTTGAGAGATGTCGAGGCTGCCACCATAACACTGTGACAACAATAATGGTAAGAGGGGAGGTATCAGGGCAGTAAACATAACACTGTGACAACATTGACAACAAGAGTGTCAGGACTGTCACCATAAGGCTCTCAGGCAACACTACAATACCTCACAAAAATAAAAGGATTTCATAGTTAAAAGAAAAACATTGTTAAATTGTTTATTTTACAACTTGATACCTTTAACAAAACCATTTGATGTTAATACAAGGACAATTGGCATCCTACAGATTCCATTATAAAACCCTTTAATATTTGGGTATTCTTTTACAATGTGGCCCTGTATAATCAACAAGCTGACACCCTGGCACTCTAATAACAGTGTCAGGGTGGTATATATATCTATTTACAATCATATATTTATTACTATCAACATAATAGTTATAAACAACATCTCCAGTTTAACTTAGGCAGTGTGTGTGTGTGTGTGTGTGTGTGTGTGTGTGTGTGTGTGTGTGTGTGTGTGTGTGTGTGTGTGTGTGATGGACGAGGCACGAGTACAGAGAATTCTGCTCCACAGGTTATAATCGTACTGTGTTGACGTCAGAATACACAAGCTGACATTCTAACACCTCCACCTCACTAACCACACACAGACTATAGCATCATTATCCACAAACAACAGAAAAATAATCCAAACCATATAAAAATCACCCAAAGAAAGTCAATGTGTAGTCACTCAAAAAACTATCTGTACTCGGGGTGATCGATGATTTCCAGAATGAACACTGTGACTCCTGTTGTCTCGGTATGGTTGTCAAAATCCTTCGTCCGTTGTGTCATATTTTTTCAACATAATTTTTGTATAGATAGTTTTTTGAGTGAACGTGTACACCAACACACCTGGTTTCCTACAATATCTGTGTACACCTGACAAACACCTGTAGCTGGTATATTAGGAAGATAGCGTGGTGTATAGAGTTTTCTAGGGTGAAATCTGGTGCTGGGTGAAGTTGAGGTGATTGGTAGTGTGAGCTAGGGTGAGGTCTGGTACCATGTGTTATAGAATGAGATTTGGAACTGTGTCCTAGGGTGACCCCTGATGGTGGGTACTAGGGTGACCCCTGATGGTGGGTACTAGGGTGATCCCTGATGGTGAGTACTAGGGTGACCCCTGATGGTGAGTACTAGGGTGACCCCTAATAGTGGGTACTAGGGTGATCCCTGATGGTGAGCACTAGGGTGATGCCTGGTTCTGGGCATTATGGTGCCTGGTAGACAGATGGTGCTGCAGGTGGGGAGGGCACTAGGGTGATGCCTGGTTCTGGGCATTATGGTGCCTGGTAGACAGATGGTGCTGCAGGTGGGTGCGGTCGGTGGTGCGGTAATAACAAAAAGCACAGCGGTAAGGTCTGAGGACGCCCCCTTCATGGCGAGTTAACACGTGTCTCTTGAGGTCATTACTCCTCTTGGTCTTGTACTCACAGTGATGACACACGAAAGGCCAGCCTCCAGTGTGCTGCCTTACGTGGTTGTTCAAGTCTATTTTATTACCAGACGTGTACCCACAGATTGAACATGTGTAGATGCCTCGTATTGCACAGTCATTGGGTAGGGTGATGCCGGTCCTCATAGGGGTGGGCGTGGTCATAGTGGGCGTGGTCATGGTGGGCTGGAACCTCACCCCACTGCCTGACACCTGAAAATACACACCAACATTACTCTGTGGTGAGCGGCCATTATGGTCCCTCCAATATCACCACCACCTCCACCACCACCACCACCTCCACCACCACTACCACCCTCGTTACCTCTAACATCCGTTCATCATTAAATTGTGTTCTTGTTACTTACTGAAGTGTTTATGTTACTTACTGAAGTGTTTATGTTACTTACTGTACTGTTCGTGTTACTTACTGTACTGTTCATGTTACTTAATGTAGTGTTGGTTTAAGCTACTGTAGTGTTTGTGTTACTTACTATAGTGTTCGTGTTGCTTACTATGGTGTTCTTTTAAGCTACTGGAGTATTAGTGTTACTGAAGTGTTCACGTTACTTACAGTACTGTTTGTGTTACTTACTGTACTGTTCGTGTTACTTACTGTACTGTTCGTGTTACTTTGGTGTTCAAGTACACAGTGTAGCGGAGCATTCAGGTGTACACAGTGTAGTGGAGCATTCAGGTGTACAGTGTAGTGGAGCATTCAGGTGTACACAGTGTAGTGGAGCATTTAGGTGTACACAGTGTAGTGGAGCATTCAGGTGTACACAGTGTAGTGGAGTGACACATGTGTACCCTTATTATGGACACATGCTCAAGGTGCACTGTATCACTGGACCACACTATATATGAGTTACATTATACTGTGGTCCTGAAGACACCTGCTGAACACAACACAACACAAGGTTTAGTGAGGTTATCGTTGTGAATTATCAGTATACAGATAAGAGATACAACTAAACACAAGGTAGAGTGTTGTAAAAGTTGTAGATGTGAATGTTGGGGTGGAGGGAATATTATGTTGTTTTGAGAATAACAAGCCAATGTGAGTGTTGTAATCGGTACAGAGTGTTGTAATCGGTATAGTGTTGTAATCGGTATAGAGTGTTGTAATCGGTACAGAGTGTTGTAATCGGTACAGAGTGTTGTAATCGGTAACAGAGTGTTGTAATCAGTAACAGAGTGTTGTAATCGGTACAGCTATACATGATGAAGGTTGTGAGCCAGGAGATCATCTTCATCCTATAACTTAGCGTCACTGTCTGGCATGATTGGGGTGTTTGGTAGCTAAGTGAGAGTTGAGGTGGACAGCATAAGTGGTACGGTAGGGGCAGACAGGACAACGATAAGGTCGCTGAAGCTCTCCCTGATGGCGGCTCTGCAGATGCCGCTTTAAGTCGTGACTGCGATTTGTCTTGTAGTCACACTGGGTGCAGACAAAACCCCAGCCCCCCGTGTGTTGTCTGACGTGTTCACTGAGAGCGAATCTGGAGACAGCTGATATCCGACAGATGGGACAGCTAAGGGAACCCTGCATCACCAGGCTGCTGCCACCCACCTGTAAAGACACCCACACTATACTCTCGCCGCTCTGTTGTAAGCCACCCACAACCCCCACCACACACAACCCCCCACCACACTGTACTCTCTTACTAAGAAACTTTACCTTATATTAACCCCTTCAGTACGATGGCCTTAACCTCTTGAGTACGATGGTCCTATCCCTTTGAGTACAGTCACTGTAACCTTTGAATATGCTGAATGTAAGGTCTTCGTACTCAAGGAGCTAATGTCCTCATACTCAAGGGGTTAAGGTCATCGTACTCAAGGGGTTAATGCCATCATAGTCAAATAGTTAATGCCATCGTACTCAAGAGGTCAATGCCAACATAGTCAAGAGGTTAATGCCATCATACTCAAGGGATCAATGCCAACATAGTCAAGGGGTTAATGCCAACATACTCAAGGGATCAATGCCAACATAGTCAAGGGGTTAATGCCATCATACTCAAGGGATCAATGCCAACATAGTCAAGAGGATAATGCAATCTTTCTCAGTGGTTAATGCCATCGTACTCAAGTGGTTAAAGCCACCGTACTCAAGGGGTTAATATTAGGGTTTCTTCTTATACTGTATACTAGATGAATATACAGGAATATACTGATTAAACTCCAGCAAGATTATTTATGTATCTAACTCTTATTATTACACTAATCCAAGTACTATATCTCGTGTGTAAGTTATATCCAATAATCCATTAATAACCTATAACACGAGCCAATAAGAACCTAACATTAACACAAGCCAATAAGAATCTATCATTAACACGAGCCAATAAGAACCTAACATTAACACAGGCCAATAAGAACCTAACATTAACACAAGCCAATAAGAATCTATCATTAACACAAGCCAATAAGAACCTAACATTAACACAAGCCAATAAGAATCTATCATTAACACAAGCCAATAAGAACCTAACATTAACACAAGCCAATAAGAATCTATCATTAACACTGGCCAATAAGAACCTATCATTAACACAAGCCAATAAGAATCTATCATTAACACAAGCCAATAAGAACCTAACATTAACACAAGCCAATAGGAATCTACCATAAACCATGATGTTATAAGATGGCCACAAATACAACCCACAACCTCCCCCCCCCCGCCCTTCACAACCTTATAAAAAAATATAAACGTCTTGAAGATTTACTTTTACCGTATATGAGGTGGATGACGTCACAGTGTTCCTCAGGTGTCAAGGAGTAGTGATGATGTATAAGTCAAGTATCAAGGAGCATTATTATACTAAGATATACCGGTATATAAGGGGGATATATAAAACACTTTGGTATATATTATAGGTTTTATTAGTACTGTATAGGTAAGAGTATAGTTAACGGTGCGGTAGGATACACACATACACACACACACACATACACACATACATACATACACACATACATACATACACACATACACACAGTAGTGGCTGATATTCTTCCTAATATGTGCAGTATACATCTAGAAAATAAATATTATTTACTTGTGTGTTAAGCTTATCAACATGGTCGAGAAATTTAACCTAACCTGACCTGGTCTACTCTAAGTTGACCTGACCTGACCTACTCTAACCCAACCTGACCGGACACAACTTTGGCCTGACCAAACCTAATCATGCCTGACTTCATCTAAACCAACCTGACTTGACTTAACCAACCTAATCTAACCTAACCATACTTAACCTAGCCTAACCTAACCATGACAATATTTAAGCTAATCTAACCTAACCAAACCACAACCTAACCTAACATGACCTTCACCATAGACACATATATAATTTAATATCTTTCTCACCTAAGCATTAAAATATTTAATAACTGAATTACAACAATATAAGCAGACATATATGTTCCCAGGGCGCTTATGTGCTATGTCAGGGAGGTTATGGTGTGAGGGAGGTTATAGTGTGAGGGAGGTTATAGTGTGAGGGAGGTTATAGTGTGAGGGAGGTTATAGTGTAAGTGAGGTTATAGTGTGAGGCAGGTTATAGTGTGAGGGAGATTGATGATGCAACAGACATGACACACACACACACACACACACACACAAAATACCAACAGTTGTGATAATCAATGAAAGTGACAAATAGTGTTGTTGTTTATCTTATTTACAACACTATAACTTCCCCGTGGTGAAGTGTATCTAGTAAGGTCGGTTGTTAAGAAGCTGCATTACTCTACGTGTCTTGTGTGCATCAGGGTGAGGGAGGGACGTCTTGGTAAGGTAAAGCACCGTACCATGATAGGTGAGGGAGGGACGTCTTGGTAAGGTAAAGCACCGTACCATGATAGGTGAGGGAGGGACGTCTTGGTAAGGTAAAGCACCGTACCATGATAGGTGAGGGAGGGACGTCTTGGTAAGGTAAAGCACCGTACCATGATAAGGTAAAGCACCGTACCATGATAGGTGAGGGAGGGACGTCTTGATAAGGTAAAGCACCGTACCATGATAGGTGAGGGAGGGACGTCTTGGTAAGGTAAAGCACCGTACCATGATAGGTGAGGGAGGGACGTCTTGATAAGGTAAAGCACCGTACCATGATAGGTGAGGGAGGGACGTCTTGATAAGGTAAAGCACCGTACCATGATAGGTGAGGGAGGGACGTCTTGGTAAGGTAAAGCACCGTACCATGATAGGTGAGGGAGGGAGAGAGGTACAGGATATAGTGGTTGGTGTGTGCTATATAAGTGTCATGATATATATAACAAATAAGATAATTGGAGGGTTTTAGTAATAATGAATGACAATTGTTACTACGTCTTCCTATATACATGAAACTACGCAGTAATTTACTCATGACTTTCAGTAACCTGGTGAGTCAAGTGCTGTACGTCAACTAACATCACTCAACCAAACCATGGCGTCGCTCATGCTAAGTTAAATGTTTGCTTTTTTATATTAGATAAAATTTCATAAAGTTTATATAAGTATTGCACTAAAGATACAGTAAAGAGTGATGGCCTAGAGTGCAGTAGAGTACACAGGGGCGGCGATCACTTCACTCAGTCATGCCAGGCAAGAATGGCTCAAGTCTCACGTGACCAACATGGTGCTGGAATGCTTGTTAAACACGCTTCTCATGATAAAAACAATGTTACGAGTGAAACTGCCCACAAGACGAGTGCATCGTGACAAAACTATAAAGGTTGGTGTGTGGACTTGGCTCCCTTAGGACTGCTTCAGGCATTAGCCTGGTCTAGTTGTTGCTGATCGAGCCTGGCCTGGTAGAAGAGCTCATGATGGCGGTGTTTTTTGTGAGAGCGGATGGTGGACGGGTCACTGGCCCTGTACGGACAAAAGGGACACTGGTACGGTCTCTCCCCAGTGTGGGTGCGGACGTGACGCTTCAGGTCATCACTAGTGCGACTGCGGTGGTCGCAATAGCTGCAGAGATACGGTCTCTCACCAGTATGGGTTCTAAGGTGCAGCTTAAGCTTGTCACTGCGGCTGCACACCTTGCCACACAGAGGACACGTTACCTTAGCTTTGCCTGTGAGAGCCCCCACCCTGCCGAGCTGTTCCAACCACTGCCGACACTGTAAAGACGGGAGAACACAGGTTATGAACAGCACCTCCGCACCCAACCTTACCATAACAAACTATCACCATGTAAACTTTACTCATTATCCAGAATAAAACATAAAAGCACCTAGATCGTGAAGCAGCGACACAACACATGACCAGACCAGAGACTAGACGAGAGCAAGGTGTAGTGTACGCCTCGGGGGGTGACCACCTTTCTCACACACACCATCAAAAACGGAGTAAAAACAAAACACAAACTATAAAATAATCACATATATTTACAACCAATTATAGTGAATTATTTGTGTGGTATAACGATGTTTACTTGTGTGATGTTGACAGTATATTCATGGTCTCTGTGGTAAACAGGGGGTCACCAACATGTATAACTGTTTACTACAACTTTTTATCGTGGATGACGAATCTTATTTTAGAAGAAAGTTATAATGGAGAGTTGTGGAGAATCACGCGCACACACACACGCGTCTTAACCACCATAAGATAACGTACCGGAACTGCTTGCTCCTGCGGCCGCTTGGGTAAATTTTTTTAGCCCTCTCCCACATCCTCCCTCCCCTCTCATTATACAAGCAAGTCAGTAAAAAGTTTAATAACCATCTACAACTGATATAAAAGTAACAATGTCAATATGGGAAAGCTTTGGGTTGCCTGGGCGTTTAGTTGGCAATATGAACCGCTAGTAAGATCACCCAACGTCTGGTGTTAAGATGTATCAGTTTATGTTAAATCTTGTCTCGTATGTTAAATGGTACAGTGAAACCTGCAGATAACGGACTTTTCTCTATATAATCCGTTACATGGAGGTTTCACATATAACGGACTTTCATCTCTATCTAGTTCATTAGATGGCCACAGTCCCTGCAGCTAATTTCCACTGATGATGACCACCGTCCCTACAGCTAACTTCCACTGATGATGACCACTATTTAAAGGTTAATCTCAACAAAGTCAACTTGCCTCTGATAAAACCAAAGCACTGTTAGTCTATGCACTTATGTTAACGTTGTCAGACTTCTAGGTGCCGGGACCCTGTGAATTATCTATTAAGTTCAATAAGCATCAAAGTAATTATTCAATAGCTGAGAGGTAAACACTTGCACGAACTCAAGCAGTTTATAATGAAAGGAATTTAATTACTGTGTTTACTGACATGAGGAATAATGTTAAGGGCTATATCATAATCTACTCATTCGTCACATTAACCTTTTGTGAACATATCCGACAATAGCATCGTAGCAGATATATTCTACAACAATTCACATGTTATGTTTGTACTGAGCATCTTTATAGAGGCACTCTGTATCTACTAGACAATGGCCAACTCAAGAAGTACTGTTCCTGCTCGTGCATACATAGTGAAAGTGATGCTGGTGTTTATGACGACTTTCCCCAAGAGTTAACCATTGAATCTAGTGAATCTGGAGTGAAATTTGAGTGAGAAGGATGAAAAAGCTGTCCATTCACTCATTCACAGATGGGATTAGAGTGATTCTTTATTCCCCGACCAAAGATGGACTATTTCAAGATGTTTTAGAACAATACCCAGGTGAAATATCTTATTGGATAGAGTACTGTACCCTCATGTTGCTGCCGTCGACCCAGCTTCTCTCTTCAGAAGGATGTAGCAGGAAAATATAAGCGTTCCTTAACTTACTGAGCCAATGACTTCAAGGTGTACTGACCATATGCTTAGCACACCTGTATATGGAGCCAGCTGTTTCCTCCGCTTGGGTGACAATAGTATACCAGGTACTGACATGGTAAGGAAAGTGGGTAATGTTTCCTCTCGCCTCAAGAATAAATGCAAGGAGGTCTTTCATATACTTGGCATCAACACATCAAGACTGACTCAACACATCAATACTGACTCATCAACACATCAATACTGACTCATCAACACATATCAAGACTGACTCATCAACACATCAAGACTGACTCATCAACACATCAATACTGACTCATCAACACACATCAATACTGACTCATCAACACACATCAATACTGACTCATCAACACATCAATACTGACTCATCAACACATCAAGACTGACTCATCAACACACATCAACATTAACTCACCAACACTGACTCACCAGCTAGTAGGTTTATATAATTAACTAAAACAATTTATTATCAAAACAATTCCATCCTTTATTGAATAAGACAAACATGAGGAAAAATATAAAAGTTATCATTAATAAGACAACCATCAAATAAACCTTTAACCCTTTGGCGACGATACTCTAGTTTAACCCTTTGAAGACGACGATTTAACCCTTCAGGACTCAAAGGGTTAAGTAAACACTAATGGTCACCGTTAACTCAAGGCTTCACTTACAGTACATCACTTTATTTATTTACATTATTAACATATACATACATACATCAGTACACATAGTAATCATACATAACATTGTACTTTTTGTGTATACTGAAGCTTAAACCCCCTCAATATTATGTATACCTGTGTTGTACAGTATACCCCTGTTTAAAGTCGCCTCCAGTAACATGTATACTGAAGTTATAGCCCACAATATAATGTACACTGAAGCTATAACCTACACAATAACATGTATACTGAAGCTATAACCCAATGTATACTGGAGTTATAACCCAATGTATACTGAAGCTATAACCCAATGTATACTGAAGCTATAACCCAATGTATACTGAAGCAATGTATACTGAAGCCCAATGTATACTGAAGCTATAGCCCAATGTATACTGAAGCTATAACCCAATGTATACTGAAGCTATAACCCAATGTATACTGAAGCTATAACCCAATGTATACTGAAGCTATAACCCAATGTATACTGAAGCTATAATGTATACTGAAGCTATAACCCAATGTATACTGAAGCTATAACCCAATATAATGTATACTGAAGCTATAACCCACAATATAAACTGAAGCTATAACCCAATGTATACTGAAGCTATAGCCCAATGTATACTGGAGCTATAGCCCAATGTATACTGAAGCTATAGCCCAATGTATACTGAAGCTATAATCCAATGTAAACTGAAGCTACAGCCCAATGTATACTGAAGCTATAACCCAATGTATACTGAAGCTATAACCCAATGTATACTGAAGCTATAACCCAATGTATACTGAAACTATAACCCAATGTATACTGGAGCTATAGCCCAATGTATACTGGAGCTATAATCCAATGTATACTGAAGCTATAATCCAATGTATACTGAAGCTATAACCCACAATATAATGTATACTGAAGCTATAACCCAATGTATACTGAAGCTATAACCCAATGTATACTGAAGCTATAACCCAATGTATACTGAAGCTATAACCCACAATATAATGTATACTGAAGCTATAACCCAATGTATACTGAAGCTATAGCCCACAATATAATGTATACTGAATTTATAACATTTGGTAGGAAGTTATAGGTGAAGTTATGATTCAGAAGGGCGCATCTTATGATTGAGGTAACTACTGACAACTATGGTGGCAGAGAGGTCAGTAGGGGGTGGCAGACAGGTTATTGGAGGGTGGCAGACAGGTTATTGAAGGGTGGCAGACAGGTTATTGGAGGGTGGCAGGCAGGTTATTGAAGGGTGACAGAACAGGTTATTGGAGGGTGGCAGGCAGGTTATGGAGGTGGCAGACATGTGGAGGGTGGCAGACAGGTTATTGAAGGGTGGCAGACAGGTTATTGGAGGGTGGCAGGCAGGTTATTGGAGGGGCAGACAGGTTATTAAAGGGTGTCAGACAGGTTGGAGGTGGCAGGCAGGTTATTAGAGGGGTAGACAGGTTATTGAAGGGTGACAGACAGGTTATTGAAGGGTGGCAGACAGGTTGTTGAAGGTGGCGACAGGTCATGGGAGGTTGGCAGACAGGTTATTAGGGGTGTGACAGGTCATTGGAGGGTGGCAGACAAGTCATGGAAGGGTGGCAGAACAGGTCATGGGAGGGTGGT